ATAAACAAAAAAGAGAGAGAGAGAGAGAGCCAGGGGACGGCTGATGGCAGTATGAACAATGTACGCCGGACCGTGAGCGTCCCTGGGCCAGGTGGCCGGGGAGGCCCGCTGCCGACCACAAATGTCTGTACTGCTGGGAGGAACAGGGAGCCCTCTGGGGCACCAATCTCTGCTGTCCCATCGGTGCCGAGAACTCTAACAGTAGCGACGAGCACGCCTGCTGGCCACGCTGCCCTGAAAGTGCGTGCCGGCACGAGTATTGACCCGTACGCTGTCGGCAGTCCCCGGGCAGTGGGGAGGCGAAGCCGCCTGGTGAGACAAGTCAGACATTGGGGTGGCAAGCGCGCCCTGGGAGCCTGAAAGTGGCTGCAGGTGTCAGCGCGGTGGACGCGCACCTTTGCACCCGCATCTAACCAGCCGAGGCTGTCTAGCTGTACTGCGCCGTAGAGGTGGGGGGGGGGGGCTGGTAGGGAAACGCGAAGGGTCAAGAATTGGCTTTCGTTTAACATAACTCGGGACCAATTTGCCCGCACAAGCTCGGACCGAAATCGCAAGAATGTAAAGGCGAACGTGCTGAGGACACGCAAACGCACTCAGGAACACTAGCTGCCAAGAGAAAGGCCCAGCGGAGATCAGGAGTGGACAAAGCAGCACGATGACAAACTCGGCGACGCAAATGTAAAGCCACTCCACCACCTCCCATGGCGCGCGCGCGCAGGCGGAATTGAGGCGTCCAGCCGCATAGACGGGGTGTCCTGCGCGAGGGGGCGAATATGAATGGACACTCTCACACTCACAATCCGTGGCCAACGACCGTGGATACACCGCGAACTACAAAACACGCAGCGGCCCCGGGCTCGGGTAGAGGGGGGGACAGGCGGAGGAGGAGGAGGAGGAGGAGGAGGAGGAGGAGGCAGGGGAGGAGAGAGAGTAGAATTAGGTCGGGCCTTTTCCCCTAGAGGCCGATGTTCGAAAAATTGAATACTGACCAAAAATATCAAAATTTGCTCATATTACTATATTCCATATATATATATGTGTGTATATAAAAATGGGGCCACCAGACTGTAGGCCGAAGGTTCGCAGTTTCCTGTACCAGTTGCAGCTTCCAGTTTCCACTGTTACAGCTATGTTTCTTGCTGTTTCCTGTTCTTTGTTGATTTCTTGCTGCTCACTGTTCCTTGTTAATGAAATGCGCGAGGGGGGGAAGCCCAAAACGAGCATTTCTACCACACCCAAAGCGTATTGTCTGAAATGCCGGGGTGGGTAATAATTGACACCCCTCACGCAGATCGGCGGTGTCAGGGTCCAAAAACACAGGAGATTCGCCACATTTCTGACATTCGGTGGCACCCCTCATACAGATCGGCGGGGTCAGGGTCCAAAAACACAGGGAACGTGCCACATTTCTGAAATTCGGCGGCACCCCTCACAAAATTCCGCGGGTCAGGGTCCAAAGACACAAAGGATTTGCCACATTTCTGACATTCGCCTGCAACCCTCACGCAGATCGGCGGGGTCAGGGTCCAAAAACATAGGGGATTTGCCACATTTCTAAAATTTGCTGGCACCCCTCAAGCAGATCGGCGGAGTCAGGGTGGTCAAGCACACGGATTTGCCACATTTCTGACATTCGGTGGCAGCAATTACGCAAATCGGCGGGGTCAGGGTGCAAAAAACAAAATGGATGTGCCACATATCTGAAATTCGGTGGAACCCCTCACGCAGATCGGCGGGGTCAGGGTCCAAAAACACATGAGATGTGCCACATTTCTGAAATTCGGTAGCACCCCTTATGCAAATCGGCGGGATCAGGGTCCAAAAACAAAGATTTGCCAGATTTCAAAACTTCGGCGGCACCCCTCACGCAGATCCGTAGGGTCAGGGTCCAGAAGCACAAGGGATTTGCCACATTTCTGAAATCCGGTGGCACCCCTCACGCAGATCGGCCGATTCAGGGTCCAAAAACACAAGGGATTTGCCACATTTCTAAAATCCAGCGGCACCCCTCATGCGAATCGGCAGGGTCAGGGTCCAAAAACAAAAAGGATTTGCCACATTTTTGAAATTCGAGGGCACCCCTCACGCAGATCCGTAGGGCCAGGGTCAAAAAACACAAAGGATTTACTACGTTTCTGAAATTCGGTGGCACCCTTCATGCATATCCGTAGGGTCAGGGTCGAAAAACGAACAGGCCCCGACACTGCTTCACGGCGGCGCCCAAACCTCATGATTTAGCTCTTCCATGGCCAAGTCTCCGAAAGAGGGGGCCAGCGGCAGGGGGCCAAGCTCTTACGGATATGTAGATATAGGTATATATATATATATATATATATATATATATATAAATGTGCCATGTATTCCATTTCTATATATATATATGTATACCAACAAAAAAACTGTAGAGGGACAGGCCCGACCTACAAGCAGAAAGGCCCACCGCACCCCAACAAGACTACCACGAGTCCCGACGAGCGTTCCCTGCAGGTCGGGGGCGCCCAGAGAGAGGGGCGCCCACGAGAGAGGGCTCGCAGAAGCAGGGCCCCGGGCGCGTGCGCGGACGAGGGGCGCCCCCCATGTCGGGGGGCCCCTTCGAGTAACCCCATCGGGCCTCTCAAGGGTGGTACAGCGGGCCCGCACCTACTGTGGCTGGCCAACCCAGGGCGAGAGTCTCTCCCACAGCCCCGTCGAGCTGTGATGACGATCGGGCAGCCAACCCGTTTTTTTTCCTGGGACGCCACGAGGGCACCCAGCGGCACAGGTGCCCAAGTTGTGGAGGGGCCCAGGGACACACCAAGAAATGCATGCAGATCCCAGGATTCCCCCTATTTCCCCATATCTGTTGGACTTTCGTCTTCCCCCCACTTCCAACATTTTCCCACACTTTCTGCGGGATCGACGATGAATTGCGTCTATGTGATATTCCCCTCCTGAAATTAAGGGGAGAGAGAGAGAGAGAGAGAGAGAGCCATGAAACCTGGGGAGATATCATGGCCCTGGCCATGATACCCCCCCCTAGCCATGACCCCCCCTTTTTGGCCGCCCCCGACTTCAGCATGGCCACCGTGAGTTCCGAAAAGCACGTCGTTCGGACAAGCCGGCTCCTGCTGACAGGCTCCTCCTCCTCATCGTCGTCGTCGGCATCGTCGTCGTCGTCGACGTGGTCGCCGCCGTCGTCGCAGGGGTCGGGACTTCGACCGAGGCGGTTCCGGTAAAGAAAAGGAGGCCGCAGAGGGCCTCCCGAGAGGAAGCCAGAGACGAAGCGCAGCGGCTTGTCCGGGATCTCCACTCTTCTCTCCTCCAGCTGCGCCAGCAGCTTCTCCTGCCACGCACCCCAGGCCCCCTCGCGGTGTGAACAACATCACGGCGGGAGGCTGTTCGCTATTTTCGGCCTCTGGGGGCCCTCGCCATGCCGCGGGGCCGTCAAATAACGACTAGGATGCAAAACTGGCCCTCGGGAAGGGTTCCAGACCTCTGGGCTTAGGCCGGGCAAGTCCTTCTACAGGCGGATTGTGGAGGTAAAATTAAGGATAGTCAGAAGATCATCAAACATAGTCTAAAAATAATCGAGAAACCGTCCCCAGACTAGTGTTGCACCATTCTTCCACATTGCCCCTGCAGAGGGACATGCCCGACTAGACTCTGGGCCTCCGTGGGGCGACGAGATCCGTACACGTCCACTGCTCCCTGGCCAGGCCCGGCCTGCGCACAGCAGCGGTGTCTAGGCCACGCCCTCGCGGCTTGGGCTGGGAGGGCGTACGCACGGCTCCTGGGCTCTGGCCAGGGTTGTGGATGCCACGACAATGGACACCCTGACAGTCCTATCATTGACTTTAAAATGTATTTAAAATGTAAGAAAACTGTTCTAAGCATGGTTTAAACATGTTTTGTACGTGTCTGAAACATGTTTAGCACATGTTTTAGACATCTGGAAATTATTTGGTCCTCTCCATTGATCGTCCTCCACAAGGCCAGGGAGCAGCGGAGTGCATGTTCTTGCGAGGGGGGCACGCCACGGAGGCCCGTCTCGCTGCGGCGAGGGGCGCGGCCGACCGAGAAAACAGAAAAGACCGCGGCGCTGCCGCGGGCTGCTCGCGCTCCGGGCGTGGGACGGGCGCGGTCAAGTCTGGGGTTGTGGATGCCACGACAGTGGACACTCTAACAATCCTCTCATTGAATTGGAGATGTGTTTAAACTGTGTAAAACATGTTCTAAACATGTTTCAAACAGTTTTGTTTAACATGTTTGAAACATATTTTAGACATCTGGAAATTAGTTGGCAGCATGCTTCCTCTCTATTAATCGACGTCCACAAGTCTAGGGTTTGAGGGCATTGGGTAAGGAACCCTTGAACTGGGAACCCAAGGTCTGGAAGCCGGTGGAGCAATGGAGTGTATGGATCTCATCGCCCGACCTCCAGCGGCGCCAACAGCTTCTCCTGCCCAGCGCGGGCCCCTCCCTCGCGTCCGTCCTCGTTTCTCGGAGGTCTTTTCCAGCCTCGGGGTGCGTTGCAGCGGCTGCGCCTCGCCGAGGGTATTCAAAGGAGGTGCCCAGATCGACCCGAACGGGCGCCAGAGACCCGAGCTGTGTGACCCGAAAGCCTCTCCCTGCCCCTCTCCTTCCCCCCTGCCCCTCTCCTGTCGCATCCTCGTCTCCTTCTCCTACAGCCTCCGCCTTCACCTCCTCGTCGCTGTCGTCGTCATCGTCCTCGCTTGCGTCGTCCTCGCCGTAGTCAGAATCGGCATCATCATCGTCATCGTCATCGTCGTCCTCCTCCTCCTCCCCCTCCTGCGCCTCCTCATCCTCCTCCACCTCGTGCTCCTTCTTCTTCTCCTCGTCATCGTCGTTCTCGTCGTCGTCGTCGTTCTCGTCGTCGTCGCCGTCGTTGACGCCGCTGGGTTTGGCTGGGCGTCGCGGTCCTTCAGGACCGGCCCGAGCCAGAGGCCGCCGCCCATGGAGAAGCACTCGCGCCCGAAGCACCAGAGGATGCCCGGGGCCATGCCTGACTGGTGGGGGGAACCCAAAGACCCCTCGCGTCGTGAGGCGAGAAAAAAAAAACACGACAGCCACTGTATCCTCTCTTCGCCCTCTGAGGGCCCTCGCCGTGCCCCGGGACCGCCAGCCAAACCAAACTTGGGATGAGAAGCCAGCCCTGGGGGAGAGGGTCGGCACTTCCCGGGGCCCTGCACAAAAAGATCAAGACATCGCATGCCTGGAGGGGGGAGGGGGCTCAGGGGGGGGGGGGGAACATCGACTTGGAATCAGCAATGATGTCGCCGATCGGCGATGGGCCCCCGAGGGCAAGGCCGGACGTTCCTGGGCGGGGGAGGGGTGGGGCCCACTGCCCTGCCAGCGACGAGTGGGCGACAGGGAGGGGCTCAAAGCATTCGAGTAGAGATCGACTACCGAATTGATTTACCCCAAAATTGATGTGCTCAGCGAGTCCACGACAAAATGCGTCGAATGTTCGTACATCTACGGCTTCTACGTATGACTCGACGAGAACATCAATTTTGGGCCCAATCAATTCTGTAGTCGATGCTCTACTCGAGGCATACATCCAGCCGCATGGTCGGCCAAGGGCCTCGTTTAGAAGCCCCAGCCTCCCAGCATGTGGGGCGCTGGCGCGCCCAGGCAGCACACTCGCTCGCCGAACACAGCCGCTCAACGACGCTGTCCCACGCCCAGACCCCCGACGTCGTGATTTTTGTTCAGAGCGCAGACCTCTAAAAGTCTGGACCCCTTCCCCGAGACCGGTTTTTCATCCCGAGTCGCTTGTGGACGGTCCCGAGGCCTGCTCAGGGTCCCTCGGAGGCTGAAGATAGCGAAGAACCTTCCGTCGGGGTTTGCTTCATCCTGAGTCGATTACGGGACGGTCCCGAGGCCTGGTCAGGACCCCTCGGAGGCCGAAGATAGCGAAGAAGGAGGAGGAGGAGGAGGAGGAAGAGGAGAAGGGGGAGGAGGGGGAGGAGGAGGAGGAGGAGGAGGAGGAGGAGGAGGAGGAGGAGGAGGAGGAGGAGGAGGAGGAGGAGGAGACGAGGAGGAGGAGGAGGGGGAGGAGGGGGAGGGGGAGGAGGGGGAGGAGGGGGAGGAGGGGGAGGAGGAGGAAGGTTTCGGCTACGAGCGGGATTGGGGCTTGTTTTCCCGTTAAAGACCTCACGCGCGGCATCCAGCGGTGCCCACGATCACGGCAGTGCAATCGCGGCCGCCTGAGCCCGCGTGGCATCGCCGTGAGCGTCGCCGCAGATCAGCGGCGAGGACGCTCACGCGTCTCGGCGCGGCAGCCTCCCTCCTGCAAGAGCATCACAGTGCCCAGCAGCCAGCAGGTGTATGGATGACGTGGTCCAGAGGCCGCAGGTGGGAATGTCAAAGCTGCGGCAGGCGGGGTACATGTGAAGCACCAATTTGGTTTATGCGGGACAGAATGTCATTTGCCCATGACGCAAAAGCTGGCCGACCACTGGCAAATGGACATTCCAAAGGGCGCCTGGCACCAGAATGTGTAGCAGCAGCCTCAGCCGCAGCGCCAGCAGAGCCAGCAGCCGCCCTGGGCCAAGCGGCAGCCGCCTGCTCGGCAGCAGCGAGGGAGGACGCCATCGCGTTGTCGTCAGGACCTCAAAGCCATCAGCCAGGCGCAGATCCAGCGGGTACTAGCGCTGATGCCCGTCATCACTGCGGAAGACGCCGAGGCACATCAGGACTTCAAGCAACCGCCTCCGCCAGAGGACCGCGCGGCGCAGTCAGCCTACAGAAAGGAGGCCAACGCCAAAGTGGCGTCCCTCGCAGCCCTGGCCGATGCGGCGACGCGTGCGGGACAGTGCCCCCAGGAGACCATCATGAGGGTGGCGGTGGTGCGGCATTGCATCGGCAGGCTCAAGCCACTCGACCAGCAGTTGTCGACAGCGAAGGCCAAGCGCACACACACACAGAAGCTCAGCTCAGGCAGATTCAATCCCGCATTGCAGAGCTGCAGGACAGCGAGGCTAAAGCTGTCAACGAGATAGAGGCCCTGCACACCATCGTCGCGGACCTCGAGCAGGAGCAGCAGGACGAGAAGGCAGCGCTGGAGGAGGCGAAGGACGTCGATATGGGAAGCAGGCCGCAACGCACCGCCTCGCGCCCGCCCCCGCCGCCACTGGCAGGAGCAGGTGCCGTGAAGCCTTCGCGGCTGTCGCCATCGTCCTCTGCCGCGCAGCCTGCTGCGGATCATGGGAAGGTGACAGGCAGCGCGTCTGGCACCCAGATGCCGCCTCAGGCACCCTCCGTCCTCGAGAACACGGTCATGGCGCTAGCAGCGCAGCAGGCCAAGACGGAGTCCTTGGTCATGCAGATGTTGCAGGCGCAGCAGGCCTCAGTGCAGCAGACAGCGGCAGCGCCACAGTGGCCCGTGCCGCCATCGGCGCCTCCGCTTGCACCACCCCCTGCTACGGGCGCGGCGCGCCAGGCAGCTTCTTCGACTGGTGCTTCGGGATCGTCGATACCAATGGTATGGTGCGAGGCATGGCCCCCAACGGCACAGGCACCCATGGTCGCCACTGGGCGCAGGCCAACCACCATCGAGCTGCAGAGGTGCAGACCTACACGTCGCAGATCACGGTGAGCCCGACGATGCCAGCGGCGCAGAGCAGCCAGCCTTCGCAACCTGCATCCCACCCCGAAATGCAGCGCAGGCTGACAGCAGCGGGGTCTCAGGCTGCGACGGCCTCAGCAGCAGCGGTGGCGGTCCCAGTGGACGAAGAATGGCAGGAGTTAGGCCCAACTCAGATGTGGGGCATGGCTCAGCAGCAGCAGCAGCAGCAGCAGCACCAAGTGGACGACGTGGCAGTGCAGAAGGAGACGCCCTACAGGGAAGCGATGGAAGCGACGCAGCCGTTCGAGCCCGAGGAAATGGAGATAGTACCGGCACTGCATTCCAAAATCCTTACCGAGCGGCAGCCACTTACGACAGGGGAAACGCCACCAAGGAAGTACCACCGGCAGGAGGGCGAGGAGGGCGACGTTTAGACAGCAGTGCAAAGCAGCAGTGCAAGCGAGTGCGAGTTGGTGTGACAGAAGTTTCAGTTTCGTTCCTATGGACGGTGAGCGTGCAGGGGTACCTCCTAATACCAGTGGTGATGTCACGCTGATTGCCGAAATATAGACCCTCTTTGCAATCTACCTGCTGTTACTCTTCTTTGGGGGGCCGATGGCGAGCACGAGATGCCTCATTACAATCACCCTTGGCCAGTGCTCGTGGACCACCACCGTTTCCAAGGACATCTGCATCTGTCAAAGAATGGATGATTGAGTATGTCCTCTGGGGTGGCCAGATACCATAAGCCGACTTGATGTTTTTTCTGCGTGGGATATGCGAAGGCATGCATTCAAGAGTCGTCGACATTATGCCAGTTTTACGCGAGCGAGAGATAGCTCCAATCCATAGCCGAGGACATGTGCGAGAGAGTATGGTACGCCTTCCATCGGCACAGGGAGGTTCACAGGAACAGGCTCAGGCGGCTCTTCTTGCGCGACCCGAATGCATGGTTGCAGCGTGCCCTCAGTTACCTCGATGACTTGTTGGCTGGGCGTCTCAGGTTTGTTGCGGATCTGGGAGATCAGGTTTACGTTGATCCCCTATGGACCGAAGCGCATCGTATGCACCAGGCGTCAGTTAATCTCGCCAACGAGTTAGCTCAGCACCAATTGCCGCCCGAGAATAGTTTCCATCCAGATGACCAAAATGATCCTAACGTCACGGTAGATGATGATAATGTTTCCTTCATTCAGGTGCGCGTGACACGGAGATGTGAGAGTGGCCGGCTGTGGCAGCACAGGATTGGATGAACGTTTTTGGGCTTGAGCCACAGAGGGTAACAGTACACCGAGCACACACTGCAACTCGGTAGGACGATCAAGGTAAAGATCTCAAATGCTAAACCTAATACGTAAATTCTGGAGATCAGTCACACCCGTCTGACTTCTCCTAGGTTTAGCACCCTCTTGGGCTCAACTAAAAGCAACTATCCGTTCCTGTGCTGGAACGGCCCCCTTCTCTACTTGAACGGAGAGGGGATAGCAAATAGCAGAAACTGCACACGAGAAAATTATCACTGAAAGAGCGGAGATGGCAAGGGCAAACTGCACGTAGATGATTCAGCTGAGGAAAGGGACGAGGAGAACCGACACCACCACCACTACCACCACCAGTAGAACTTCCCGACAGGAACTGGATCCATGTAGGCTGTGATTCTCGGGCAAGTTCCTCTCTCGAAGCTGCTTGTGATCGACTCTTGAGCTGCGGCTCGGAGCGGCGTCTCGCCACCTCTGAACTCTCGTCGACCAAAATCAGGCGACCATGGGACATTAATCGAACAAAGCGGCATTGCACTTCGTGACATCCTCCTTGGTGAGAGCGTCCACTGGCATCCGCCCGTGCGGGGTCCAACGGACATGGCCACGCGCACGCTCCAGAGACTCACAGATAACGGCAAGGTCAATGGCTGTGCGCCTGTCCCGCGCGCACGCATTGCCCTCCTTCTGCATTGTATCATAGATCGACTTGGCGTCGACCACATGCACCTGCTTCTCACGAGATCCGAGAGAACAGTCTCGTCGCAGCACGGTCGTAAAAGGTCCGGAGGCTCGGCGACAATCGGGAGTGTCCACATCGTGGAAGACCACATCTCGATACATAATCTGTAAAAACTCTACCTCTGCAACTGCTGCGGATAGGGCCTGCGTCTCTCCAGCCAGAGTGGATGGCACTTTTCGTCTTAGCTTGGACGACCTCCAGCCCAGAATCGAAGCCCGGACTGCCCGGTTGTCCAGCACAGATCGATCGGCCGCCAGGACCATCCAGGCCCCCTGTGTGGGGTCGACCGGCAGCCCGCGCTCGTCATCCAGGCCGTCGGTGGAACCAATGCCACCGGCGTCCGAGAAAGACAAAAAGGCCATCCTGTCTGGATCGAGTCGCCACACAGTGAGTCCCCTGGAAGCCGTAGAACGTAAATGGCGAGCCAACTTGTTGGCGGTGATCACATCCCCGGTCCTGGCCTGGTTCAGCTTGCTGGCCAGGATGCTGGCTACACCTGCGGCTTCGGGTCGGACCTCACGGCCCAACCAATTGAACTTGTACACGAGCGACCGCAGTGCCTTGAACTCATGAGGCTCCAGGGGGGAATCCTTGCGAGCCAGGCGCCCCTTGGACATGGACAGAGGGCGGAACTCTTCTAAAATGTACTTCTCCATGTCGATCACTGCCTTGTCTGGGGCGACGGTGATCCTTCGACCAGCAAAATCCACCGCGCCGGCCTGGCAATCCCGATACTTCCCGAATTTGAACCTGGACTCCAGGACCCCCCTAAGCCAGTCCCGGGAGACCTGGTCTGAGCTTCCGATGAAGAAGTCATCTACTTCCAGCAGCATCACGTTGGCGATGCGCCCCTTGTCATCGTAGCGCATCCACCAGCAGGGCTCCAGCATGGACCTCACAAACCCATGGGCCTCCAAATACTTGACGACAGTACGCCTCCAGGCCATAGGGGCATCGTCCAAACCGTAGACGTTGACCAAAAGTCTAATCAGGGACCCGGGTTCCAGCACGATCCCCTCACAGGGCTCTACGTAGATCTCGCCCTGTGCTCGATGCATTCTGTCCGACTGACAGAAAGCATTCTTGACGTCGGCGATATCACATAGAAGACCCAGGTTCATGGCTATCTGGATAAACATCATAATGGACGATGTCTGAGGAGTGGGAGCATAAACTTCGAGGGCTCCTGAGTCAGGGCCCTTATGCCCATGGACGCACCACCTCGACTTAGCGTCGGGGGCGGCGAAGGCGCCCTCTTGGGGCTTCCAGCGGCGGACCATCCGGCTCGAGATGATGCGGTCTGGCTGCTCACGACGGATGACTCGTGCCTTGCTTGGAGCCACCACCTCTACCGCACCTGTCGCCTTCATGGCCTCCCACTCCTTAGCATCGGACGCATCGAACTTGGCCCGATCGGCGGGGGATAGATTTCTCAGCGAGACCTCGCCGCCTCGGCTGGCAGCGAAAGTGCCGCCGTCTTGTGCCTCGGCTCTCGTCGGCTCCTGCTGCTCAGCCGGGACGGTGGCAACGCCGTCGTCCCCGGGAACCACCCAAAACACTCCTTCGGAAAGACTCTCGCCTCTCGTGGGAGAACGTGACCGGGCCCGAACCCGTCCGGCCTCGATCTCTTGGACCCTGTCAGCCACTGACACGCGCGGCTCGGAGCCGGCGGTGATCCTGGCCCCGGACCCCAGCCCTGGGGATGGAGACGGAGCGGGGAGGCCCGGGGGAGGAGAGAGATGAAGACCACCACTACCACTGGAGACCTGAGGGGCGGACGGAGACGACGACGATGGGTCGGCTGACTCCAGCTTCGCCCGCTTGAACTCTGGCGGCGAGCTGGAGGCTCGGGCTGCCTCGGCCCGGGCGCGGATGCACCAAGGCGCGTCCTCCGGCTGAGACAGCACCCTTCGGGGCCGAGGCGCTGAGCCCGCCGTGGCCTGAGGAGGCTCCGGAGGAGGAGGTGAAAGAGGGGAGACAGTGAGAGGTGGAGCGACAGGCGGAGGAGGGGAAGGCGAAGGAACAGGAGCATCAGTAGGGGGACCAGGGTTCCCCTCCTCTCTCCCTGGCGTCACCTCTCTGGACAAATCTCCTGTCGATGGTTCGCTCTCGGCAATCGATGGAAGCCTGGTGCGGATGCTGCCGGCCTGTGCGATGTCCGAACCTGCTTGAGACTCCCGCCCCAACTCGGACCCGGCCCGAGATCCCCTGGAGACGGCCGCCCGAATCGCGCCCGACGGAGGCCCTGGGACCGAGGGACCCTCACGACGGACAGGGGCCTCTGGCCCACCCGGCTCGGGGCCCGGAGGGCCCGCAACACGAGGGGCCGAATCCTCTTCTTGGCCCAGAGGTCGGTCCCAGGCGTCCTCTGGCGGGGCCCCCTCTCGTTGGACATCCACGGCCGAGGCACGACGAGTCCTGGCCTGCTGCAGTAACTCCTGCCACCTGGGATCCTGGGAAAGCTGCAGTCCGTACTCCTCGTCCGAACTCGCCAGGCGTATCTGCTCTGGTGAGCACTTCCAAAGGCGCGCTCGGACGGCAACCCAGACAGTCCCGGCTTCGTGGAGGACCACGACACCCGGACCAGCCCAGCCATCCCGGCGTCGTCCTAGGGAATCGGCTCGAGAGGAGGTACGAGACATGTGCCTCCACACAAACACCCACTGGCCAGGAGAGAAGGTCCTGGTCGTCGCGGTCCTGGCCCGGGAGGCTCGACTCACTTGGTCTCGAGAGGTCACTTCGATAGCAAGGCGACGAGCAGCGTCTCGAATCTTCTGGGATCTAGCAAACTCGGCACCTGCCTCGTCCTGCTCCATGGGCGAGCGCACCACATCTTGCCATCCTGGGAGCCCCTTGCTGTCGTCGGACAGCAGGTCGTGGGGAAGCCTAGGGTTCTCTCCGAAAACCAGCTGGAGGGGCGAGAACCCTCCACGATGCCAGAATCTGTTTTTGTGGGCAACCAGTTCCGACACCAGCTCGTCGAGCTCGTCCAACGTGGCGGGAAGAGCCGAACCCGACTCGATCTCGGCCTTAAGCCGGTCCTTAACCCAACCCCCGTGACGCTCGACGCGGCCGTTTTGCCACGGTGAGTCGGCATCGCAGACGTGGTGATAGACACCCCACTGCTCGGTTCCTCTCGCAAACCTCCCAGCAAACTCCGAGCCCCCGTCCGAGATAAGATAGCGTGGGGCCCCGAACGGTCGAATCCAGGCCAGGACAAAGGCTCGCCACACGGTTGCCGCACGAGCGTCGGCCACCCTGGCGCACACTTGGAGGTTGGAACCGTGATCGACCATGTTCAGAAAACCGTGAGTGCCTCCCTGGAAATCAACCCAGAAAAGATCCACTCCCACGATGTGGTTAAAACGGAAAGTCCTAGGGAGAGCAACGCGGCGATGAGTGCCGCTTCTCGACCTCTCGGCACACTCTGAGC